ACTTTAACTAATGACCACAGTTTATCCCACCTTGAGTCTATGGCCACCTCAATGCTCTAAAACAGTGTTCTCAACCTTCCTAATGTCATGACCTTTTAATACAGTTCATCATGTTGTGATGACCCCAACCATAAAATTATTTTCATTGTTGCTTTATAACTGTAATTTTGCTACTGCTATGAATTATAATATAAATATTTGATATAAAGGATATCTGATATGTGACCCCTGTGAAAGGGTCGTTGAACTCCCAAAGGGTCGAGACCCACAGGTTGAGGACCACTGTTCTAAAGAAAAGAATGTAAAAACTGCCACTCAGTGGTGACATGCTGTATTGGTTTATATCCATGAATGCACATGTGCTTGGACAAGTCAGGATGGATGGGGGGTGCCAGGCAACAGAAAAGAAGGGTTCTCTGTTAAAGTGGTGCTGGACCAAGTGCAGTATGAAATGAAGTGGAGGATGCAGTAAAGGCTTAGGCATGAGGCTTAGGGCACAGATTCTGTATCTCTTATTGGGGGATCTGGCATTGGGGAACTTCACCACACCAAAGGACCCAATACACTCTTGTACTGTACTCCAGGACAATTTGTCCACATGACCCACCTCTGCAAAGGCATTTCCCATTCAGGCTGTCCCCACTCATGAGCACACTCTTTTTTTTTTTTTTTTTTTCTGGTACACAGTCTTCATCATCTGATGGATTCACCAGTGAGTCATATGCCATGCCAGCACGGGATTATGCTTTATAGAAAGTTTGCAAATTCATTTCCAAGAATTGACAAAGTAGTTGTTTCTTGAGAAGGATTAGGATAGCATAACATGGGAGAAGCATCATTTATTTGGGAACTTCTGCCTTAATAAGGTACAGAACCACTTAGGAGAATCTATGGTTTGTTTTCTAGCTGTATCCAAGGCTCAAGACCCTGGATCCCCCCACAAAAAAAGCCAGTACGGGTTTACGGAATACAGCTCAGTAGTAAAGTGCTTGGTTTCAATACCCAGTGCTATGGGAAAAAATACTGGGAGAGGACTCGCCATAAACATGGCATGAAAATCTGAACTTGTAACCATGACTGTGTTAATATACATTTGCCGCTTTTCTCATTACCAAATTTTACATCTCAGCAAATTTGACACAGTGTCAGTGAGATGAAATCACTTGGCTCTCACTACAACGAGGTGCCGCTGTGATTGTGGTCGTGGTTGTTTTAAAGACATCCTTGAATTTCTAGTTTTAAATTTATAGAAAGTGTTGTCCTTTTAAGCCATTCTTTGGTCCCTCTGTTAATGGCAGAGGAAACCATAGAAATCTTATTAGAGTCAGCTACTCAATTCTCAGTTTCCCAATCTATAGCTATATAACCCTGGACAGTCTGACTAGCAAGGGGTCGAGTGTCTCAAAAACGATGCAGGGAAGAGTGAGAAGAGGGGAGGTGATACTGGACACAGGCATTAGATAATCCTTAGTATTGCTAACTGACCTTCCTTGAGACCAGCCATAGCGGGCAGTTTCTGTGCTTTAGGAGGCTGGGCTAGGATGGGGAGACAAGCAGGGGCCTGAGATGGGCTAGGATGGGGGAAGTGAAGAGCAAACAGCGCTGGTATGAGGCATCTTCTCAAGACCTGGAGTGATCTCTTCAGAGACGCCAACCCCACGACTGCCTATCCTTTATAGGGGCGATCTGGTTGTTCTGAGGGGCTAGGGTACACACATTCTACAGCAAGATCACCTTGTGCTCTAGTGCCCTTGATCCCTTTCTTCTATGGTCCAGAAAGCCATCTACCTCATTGGTCCTCAAACAATGATGTTCAGAACCTGCGGTGGTGGACCACACTTTTGGTTTTGCTCCCAGGGAGAAGAGAAAGATGAAGAAACTGTAGAAAGCACTGGTCGAGAACTGACAGCTTCCTTCCTGCCATTGGTCCACCCTCTTCCCACCTTCCCCTTACTGCACCTTACCGGGGAGGGGGCTGTAAAGCCTGGCCTCATCCATCAAGGGGAGAGGAGCAAAATTTCAATCCAATTCCAGGAAACAGTCATTATAAAACAAACAAACAAACAAACAAACAAAAAACCAAAACAAAAACCCTGAAGTTGAAGGCACAAGCCTGGGTGCAGAAAGACCAACAGATAAAGATGCCAGGAATGTCTCGGGCATACAGAGGACAGACCTATTCTAACACAGGGCAAGGACCAGGGCTGCCAGAACAAGACAAAGGGGAAGATGAGCTTTGTGGGCCACCCTGGCTGCTGGCAAGGCTGCCTCTTCTGGCTTAGGATTTAGGTTCTGTGGTCTCAGGCACCCCCACCCCTCTGTGCCCTGTCCTGTCTACTGAAAACAGCCCCACCGTTGTGGTTTCCAGCTTTGGTAACAATGCTCAATCAAACAGGTCCTGACAGGAAAGCCATGGCACTTAGTCCATTTTCTGTTGCTGTAACAGAATACGTAGCACTGGGTAATTTACAAAGAAAATAGGTTTATCTTGGCTCATGGTTTTGGGTGTTGGGAAGTGCAAGATCAGGCAGGTGTGGAAGGTTAAGTTCTCATGTGTATGTGTAGCAAGGGGAGGTGGAGGATTGAGGGAGGGGAGGGCAGAAGGATCAGGAGGAGAGACAAAACATGGGGAGGGGTTGTCTTACATTATAAAGCCTACCTTCTCATTAACTAAGCCAGTCCTTGAGGCTTGGCCTCCATGACCTCCCATTAGACCCCCATCTCGTAACACTGCACATGGAAGAGTAAAGCTTCAACACGAATTTTGGTATAGACAGAAAAATATTTGAACTATAGCATGCCCAAACAGGCAGAATAAGGAGAGTTAACGAAAGAGCCAGTTATAACAAACTGCGTAGGGTTAAAGGAGCCACCCAGGAGGGTCAAATCCAGGGAACAGGGTGGGCCCACAGAACACAGTTCTAGAAAGAAACTGTCTAATGGTCACTGGCTGTTGGTGGAAGCAAAGGGCCAACCCAAAGAGACCTAGCAATAAGGGAGCTGTCACGATTTGTTCCCCACAGGTTCATGTGCTTGAATATCTGGTCCCTCAACTGACAGTGCTATTATGGAACCTTCAGGAGGTGGAAACTACCTAAAGGAAGTAGGTTCCTGGGAGTTGTTTCTTGGGGATATGTGATCCCTGGCCCCTTCCAATCATCCCCGTGCTTCTTCCTGGTCCAGCCTCCACATGAACTGCAGTTGCCTTACTCTCCCACCAGCACAGACAGAGATGCTCCTACCATCGTGCCTGCTCTTCCACAATGGACTGGACTTTCTGAGTTCTTGAGCTATAATAGACCCTTTCTCCCTTTAGTTGCTTCCGTCAGGTATTTAGTCACAGTTATGAGGAAAGCAGCCTAGGAAATAAAATCTTGACCTTGCTCTAATCAGGTGTTTCCCAAGGGTGTTTGGTCTTTAGCTGGAGCCCACGATGAGAAGATAGACATGTAGAACAGACTTGCAATGGCAGCATGCACTGATTCAAGCTGCAGAGCTCTGGAAATGCCCTCAGGTGTCAGGAGATGGAAACGGATACTTGTAGTAATCTGAGGTTGTTGGCTATGCAGTTTAGGTCGATAAAGCTTACCACCCTTGCCCATGAACCAAAAAGCACAAGAGCAAGATTTCTTAGAATTCTCTAAAACTAGCCTCTCTGGTTATAGAGCAGTCCTGAGGAGGGCGGAGAGTATATCTGGAAGGCTGCACAGAGAACACTCCACCCAAAGGCCAGGAGTCCCTGTCTCTTAGCACCTTCCTATCTGTCTGAGGGCCAGAGATGCAGCCTGAGGCAGTGCTGGAATGCAGGGTCCCAGATGACATCTTTTCCTAGAGAAAATTCCTAATGGTGCCTCAGTCTTCTTGTGTCCTCTGTGCCCGGTGCCTGCTCCTGAAGGTGTAAAGGAACTGATAGGAGCTCTGACAGGAGCTGAGTTGCGCAGGCCCAACAGTAGACGGCCAACAGAAAACAACTCAGCAGCGTCTTTGGAGGTCCCTTGTCCCATAAGGTCATGTCAAGGCTTTTCCTTTTCTCTCTCTATTTCCTTTCTTAAATTATATTATTATTTTTAATTTTGATTTATTTATATATTTTTTTTCTTCTCTCTTTTTACCCTCCGGTTCCTTTATGTATATATTATATTGTGTATATATTTCAGTTTGGTGTTTTTATGGGATTCCTGAGTGTGCAAATGAGTGGGTCTCTGTCTCTTGTGCCTTCCCTTGGGCTCTTTTCCTTCTGTTTGTTTGTTTTGTTCAATTCTGACGTATTAGGTTTTTGTTTTATTTTATTTTATTTTAATTATCCCCTAGAAGCCTGTTTTCTAATGAGAGACAGAAAGGGAGTAGATCCAGATGGGAGGAGAGGTGGGGAGGAATTGAGGGGTGTACAGGGAGGGAAACCATAACCAGGATATTTTATGTGAGAAAAAAATCTATTTTCAATAAAATAGGGGAAATTGTGGGTATTTTCTGGACATTCAGTGTCTTTTAATTTTTTCACAAGTCAGAAGATTTTTGAGTAAACTAAGTACATTTTCAACAATGAATTATATGTATGCCTAGCATATAAACAAACAAGGAAACAGCACTGGACCTCTATAAAATCTCATCAGTTCTTATGTAAACTGATTTAGTGATACGTTGCATGTTACTAAAGAAAACTGTTCAAACTGTCTGTCAGATACCAGGTGACATTTCCTCAGATATTTCAGACACTCACACCAACTCCGTCTATATTCTGAATAGCGACTTGACCTGTGCAGATTAGGCTAAGACCCTTCACGTGGGGTGGAAGAAGTGGGATACTCTGTCCTCAGGTTGGCATTGCACGTCCTCAGACTTAGGCTGCTGCCCTCGTCGGATATGGCCTCTACCCCAAGAGATGAGCTGCAGCAAGATGGCTCATCGCCTAAACCACATGGTCGAAATACCTGCTGACCAAGCAGGTTAATTAAAGCGGGAATGGGCCGCAGGCAATACAGATTTTTTGTTTGTTTGTTTTAAAGAGAAGTCAACAAAGCGTAAAGTCATTTTTCCAATCCTGGAGCAAAATCTCTTTCTATAACCCAGTTATTATTCCAAAACACTAGTAACTGCTGCCTGACTTATTCTATTTGCAAGACCGAGCAGGAGAGGAAAGCCCATCAGCACAGAATCAGCTGCTAGGCTTTTATCTTGAGGTAGTCCAGCAGCTCCTTCTGCAACACAACGTTTTCCGCAGAGAAAATTCTTCCTAGCCATCCCTATCTTCAGACTTGGTCATTGTCGTTGTTAGTAGCCAGCTCCTGGGATTTCCATCGAACAGTTTCATGTATGCCACTTGCTGCGGTGGCCACCGGAGCATTGGGAAGTAACCTCAAGGGCAGGCTGGCCTCCTGAAACAGAAGCACTCCCTCTTCCCTTCTTTTGCAATTTCTTCGCCTCAAATTGGGCTGCCATAAGATCTGGACACTGAACCACTTCGTGGGCTCCACCAATAGCTGGGACATCAACTCTTCAACTGTAGCCTCTCCTGGTACCCACACACAGCCTTCAGTCCTACCAATCCTTACTGGTTAATATGCCCAGTCTAAGAATAAAACAGAAAACGTACAGCCAGCCGGAGTGAACAAAAGAAAGTGCTTCTCCAGGACAGACTGACCTGGGGAGTTGATGTCTGAGGAGCCTGAGGAGGTTGCTGTGACCTGTGAAAAAGGACTGGGATAGTGAGACAACAGGAAGTAATTTATAAGGGCATATTGACTGAACACCAGCAGGGATACACAAGCCCAACTAGTTAGTACTTGAGTACTGATTTTGTCAGTCTGTCCTACTTTGGGTTTCATTATATTGTCCTGTAATTTCACTTACTAATGAAACACACATGAGATGCTCATCGTATGCCAAGCACTATTCTGAAAACTTAAGAGTGTAGCAGAGCGTGATACAGACAATATTACTAGTCAGTGAGGGACTGAAAAATCCAATGGGAGAAAAGAGAGACAGAAGAAAGGAAACATGATAAAGAAATAATGAAGTAACATCGGAACGTGTCAGCAGGAAACATTAGGGACAGTAGGCGAACCTAGGGAAACGGACATGAAGTAATCAGCTGCGATTTTACACAAGAAGGCCTCCGCTTTGACATTTTGAGGGAGATGAAGAGTTAGTCATGGATGTAGCTGGGGGAAGACTATTCTAATTTGAGGGGGCAGCCGGGCCAAGCCCACAAGGCCAGAACGTGAGGCATGCTTGAGAAACACCAAGAGGTTTGTTGTGAGCGTGGGGGAGATTAGAGTGATATGAAAAGTACACAGAGGTAACCAGATCACGTTAGAGTTTTAAGAGTCAATGAAAAAGCCTGGCTTTTCCTGATAGAACAGTGTGGAGCCAGTGCAGGTATTTAAGAAGCTGTTTGGCGTTACCCCAAAACGAGCCTGTTGGGGCTGGATCAGAATCAAAGAGAATAGGAAAGACATTAGAGCAGTAACTGGGGGGAAGGGATTTTACTCAGATCGGGGAAGAGCAAAGGAAGTGATGGGAAGTGACAGAGAGTTAGGGAATTCTTGATTTATTAGGAAGCTGATTTGGGAAAGCTACTTAATACCGCTGAACACTGTTTATATTGGCAGAGACGTTGTACAACACAAACGAAATCAACTCAAAATGAATCAAAGATCTAAAGACAGTAGTTAATACTATGCCATGGGCCTCCACTAGACCCTCTGCCTGCATGCTATAGTTGTCTAATTTGGGTCTTTTCTTGGACTCCTAACAGTGGGGGTAGGGGTGTCTCTGACTCTTTTGCTGCTTGTGGGACCCTTTTCCTCCTACTGGGTTGCCTTGTCCAGCCTTGATATGAGGGTTTATACCTAGTCTTATTGCATCTTGTTATGCTGTATTCTGTTAATATCACTGAGAAGCCTCTTTTCTGTAGGGAAACAGAGTAGGAGTGGACCTGGGGAGAGGGGAAGAGGGAGGAGGCTTAGGTCAGGATGTACTGTATGAAAGAAGAATAAAGAAAAAGGAAAGAAATTGATCCTCAACCAGAAACCCATCTACCCACGTTCTCAGGAACTCCATTCACAATAACGGATGTTCAACAGATGAGCTGAGAGATAAAATGTGGTATGGACATATACACACACACAATGGGTATTGTTCAGCTTTAGAAATGAATGCAGTATCGATGCATACTGGGAACATTATGGCAAGTGGAACACTCCACACAAATGGACAACTATCATGTGATTGCACTTACATGAGAATTCTGTGGAAACACAGGTTTGCAAAAAGAAATATAAAGGAACTGTAGAAATTCAACTGTGATGCGATATTTTGTCAGGTGTTAGTGTCCAAGCCTCAGAGGTCAGGGTGAAGCCTTTGCTAACACAGCTGGGACCCTTGTATTTCCAAGTTAGGTCACTGTGTAGTTCCTTTCGGAAGGATGTGTCCTAGTAAAGGTCTCTGGAGACTTTGCTTCTGTTTTTGTTTTTCTGAGTCCAAAACAGTGCTCCCATTTTTCTCCTTTAACTAGGAATAGTGTGTTTGTAAATTGGGAAGTGTCCTTTGGAGAAGCAAGGGGCTGGGGCAGAGTGGGAATCAGAGGAAAAGGAAACCTCTCAAGACACAAGCCTCACCCAAGCTCCTGCTCACATGTGTGAGTAAGGGAACTCTGGACTGGGCTGGGGGAGGTGCAGAGGTGGGTCCCAAGAGAATCCCACTTCCTAGCTACTCTTATCTTAACAACAGGTTCAGTGCTCCATGGTACTTTTGCTGAGGTAGAGAGAGACCCACACTTTACCAGCAGATTCTAAAAGTATGATTTTTTTTTTTCCCCTTTCTCCTTTAACTAGGAATAGTGTGTTTGTAAATTGGGAAGTGTCCTTTGGAGAAGCAAGGGGCTGGGGCAGAGTGGGAATCAGAGGAAAAGGAAACCTCTCAAGACACAAGCCTCACCCAAGCTCCTGCTCACATGTGTGAGTAAGGGAACTCTGGACTGGGCTGGGGGAGGTGCAGAGGTGGGTCCCAAGAGAATCCCACTTCCTAGCTACTCTTATCTTAACAACAGGTTCAGTGCTCCATGGTACTTTTGCTGAGGTAGAGAGAGACCCACACTTTACCAGCAGATTCTAAAAGTATGATTTTTTTTTTCCCCAGGGACTTCCCAGATTTAGTTTAGTGAATCCTGTTATACAACCGGTGGTCATTTACTCCTCACTAGCACAATGGGGAGGAGAGTATAATGGGAGGAGACGTGAGTGAGACCAATGTACATGACACACATGTGTGATAATATGGAGCAGTAGCAAAGAGGTTGTAACGGGAGGGGATGTGAATGACATCAACATACTTGATACCTGTTCGTGAAAATATCATAATGAAACCCATTAACTTTGCACAATGAATATACACTAATTTAAAAAAGAACCTCCTAAAACTGGCAAACAGCATCAATAAAGGCAACAGCTGCGGCAGACCAAAACGCACCAGACTAATTGCTCCTAACAGTGTCCTCTGAAACTCTAATTGTGCACCTCTGTAAGATGCCAAGAGATTGTTTATTTTGAAACTTAGTAAGGAGGGCGCAAGAGTCCAATGTGTGCCTTCAAAATATAAACAGTCCTGCTGAATAACTAAATAGCAGAGGAGCAGATGTTTCTCTCGGCATACTCTGCCAACAAATAAATGAGGGAGAAATAATGGCACTGGAATGTCAACATTTTATAATATTGAATGAATGAAGGCTCTAAATATTAAGTCTCCATGACTCTGAACAACAAACCCAGTGGGTGCCTCCAGGTGAGTGGCACAGAACCCGTAAAGCAGGCTTCACTCAAAACAATGAACCTGGATTCCGATTGTCCCTGGGATCCACTTACCAACGTACAGGAAATACAAAGCGTAGAGATTCACAGCTGAGTGAAAGGCTAGAAAGAAAAGCGAAGAAGTGATTCCTCTAAAGGTTAGGACAGTCACTCTCCACAGAGGGAACACAAGCAGAGCCTCTGGGCAAGCTGGCTGAGTTCTATTTGAGCAGACAGAGGTTGAAAGAAAGCCTGCTAGAGCAGGGGCATTGATCAGAGGCAAAGTGTGTTCTGAGCATGTGCATGGTCCTAGGTTTGATCTCTAGCACCCAAACCAAGAGATTTGCTTTGTCATTAGAAACACATTTGCTTATCTGCCACAACCTTCTTTGTATTCAAGTATTTGTATTCTTTTGTGTGCATGTTATTTTAATGAGAAAACAAAAGAATCAATTAGTTTGAAGAAGGTTATGGCAGATTTCAGTTTGTAATGCTATATAGTGTACACACACACACACACACACACACACACACCCTGGGAAAGAGGGGCCAAGACTTAGTTCTAGGACAAAAGAATGAGGAGAATGTGGACAGGGTGGATCTGGTCATCTTGTTCCAGGAGTTATTCCAAGAGATAAAGGGAAGCTCCAGCCATTAACTGGGAAAGAGCAGCCCTGAAGTCCAGCTCAGGCTCTAGGGACTAGAGAATGGAGGGATTCTGAGAATTGTTGAGCTAAAGGAAAACTGATACAGATTACAGTCTGACCACCCAAAGATGTTAAAAGGACAATATATGATATAAGGCTTTTGATTTAATCAGCAACCACATTTCCTGCTGTGGAAACAAGTCTGGCTATCTTTCAAAAAGTTAAACATGATTACCACATTATCTAGCTACTCAGTTCCTCATGAATCAAAACAGGTATGCTGTGGATGATTGATTGATAAATAAAACACTGATTGGCCAGTAACCAGACAGGAAGTATAAGCAGGACAAGGAGAAAGGAGAATTCTGGGAAGTGAAAGGCTGAGGCAGAGAGACGCTGCCAGCCGCCACCATAAAAAGCGAGATGTAAAGTACGGGTAAGCCAAGAGCCATGTGGCAACTTATAGACTAATAGATATGGGTTAATTTAAGATATAAAAGCTAGATAACAAAAAGCCTACTGGGGCCATACAGTTTATAAGCAATATAAGTCTCTGTGTTTACTTGGTTGGGTCTAAGTAGCTGCGGGACTAGCGACTGAGAGAGATTTGTCCTGACTGTCGACCAGAAAGGACTGGAGAAAACTGCAACTACACAGGTACTCCAAGAAATACATAAACATCCATTTCATATGACCACCACTCATAGTAGCCCAAGGTGGAAATGATCTGAATGTCAAGAAAGGGTAACAAGATAAACAGATAAGTAGTCGTGGACTATTTGGTGAGGAAAGGGATGAAGAATGCATGTGTGCTATAACACGGATGAACCTTGAAAACATCCTTCTCGTTAGAAAAAACAAAACAAAACAGAAATAAAGGATTACATGCCGTATGAATCTACTACACAAGTTACCTAAGGCAGGTAAATCCACAGAGGGAGAGGAAGCAGGCTTTCAGAGACTGGGAAGGGGTGTGTGAGGAGCATGCTTAGTGGGTTGCAGTTTCCTTTTAGGGTGACGTTAAGACTACAGGGAGGTAGTAATTACACAATAACATGAACATACTTAATATTACTGAACACTTGAAAACAGTGAAGAGGGAAATTTTGATGTCTACTATAATTATTAAAATTATTTTTATGAACTTAGAAAATGAATCATATTCTTTCGCTCATCTGCTGTCCACTGAGTACTTGGTTCTATGACCTCAGCACATAAAAGGCCAACAGTCCAACCAGAAGGTGCTCAGTCCAGTCCAGGGGATGCACATGCAGAGGGACGATAATCCCAAAGCATGAAGTAAGAAGAAGTAAAATTTGCTTCATTTTTTTTTTCAAAATCACTTTTATCCTTATTCCAAGGTTTGATTTTCACAGAGTGGCAGAAACAAGGTTTTGGCAAACTCGGGATTCTCCTCTTCTTTTTCCGGGGTTGACTCTGAATTCCTGGGACTTATACGGTGTGAAAACATGAGAGATGGATACATTTGAGTGACAGCTGTCGCCACCAGATACCTCCAGAGACACTGAAAGCCCAACTAGTCACAGGACCAAAAACACTACTGCTGAGATGACAGTGTTGGGAATGACCGATTCCCCTCCCTAGGCTTATCACAGGCCAGGCATTGGCTACATTTTTGCAAATGCTAATTTTATGTATATACCAGCCCTTTAAAGTGGTTCTCTCTTTATCCCAATTTTGCAGAACAAGGAAGCCAAAAGACACCAAGGTCACACAAGCTAGTGAAGTCAGTCAGACCAGGTATGGCCTCCTAGAGTCAGCTCCTGGATCTATGAATTCTAGTAAGTGTGCCATATTCTCTTCAGATGCCCTGCAAGTCTTGTTTCCCTTTACATGGAGTCTGAAGGATCTTCCAGAAGTCCCTCTCTCTGCCTGCTTGTTCTGCATGCTCTCCTAGGTGCCCAGGAATCATTCACAAGGTCACCTGCCCTTTAACTGTCATCCATGTCCCTTTCTTTTTTGTCATTCTCCCTGCAAAATCCTTTTTCTAGTCTCTGGGGGTGTGCGTCCTTCTTTTTGTTAATTTTGCTGTTTTCTGTAAACATTTTTTATTTTTCATATTTGGATTTAAAAAAATCAAAAGATAGGCTCTTTAAAGCATGTAAGGTAGTAGGGGTGGGATTGTGGGAGAAGTGAAAAGATAGGAAATATCAAAAGAGAAAAATAAACTACATGAAAATCTTGTAATAGTCTTCAGAATTGCTTCTGATTAAAGCTAATGGAATAAGCGTTCTTAGGGTTTGGATCTGAAGCAGCTGTGAGGGTTAATGTGTTGATGGCTTGATCCCTGAATGCTTCAGTGGTCAGAGGTGACTGCATCATGGGGCTCTAACCTTACCAACAGATTAATCTGGTGATACATTCATAATTGAGAGGACTGTTGGGTAGTGGTAGAAACTGAACTACGTAGAGCCTTGTTGGAGCAAGTAGCTCACTGAGGCCATGCCCTGGGTGTGCCTTGTCTCTTCTGGCTCTCGCCTCTCTCTTTTCCTTCTGGCTGCCATCAGGAGAGCAGGTCTACTCTCTACCACACTGCCGCTACCATGATATCCTGCCTTACCACAGACCCATAAATAATGGAACATGTGCTGAGACCTCTGAGACTGTGAGTGAAAATCAATCTTTCTTCCTTCAAGTTGTTTTCTTAGGTATTTTGTCGAAGGATGGAGAGTTGACTAATGAAGCCCCCATGTTGGCTGTGTTTCTGAGTAGCTCCGTAAGATACTATGTGAACATTTCCAGCCGAACACTAGCAATGCTTTATTCTTCTATCTGGCATCTTTTACCCCCTGGTATGTTGACTGTCACCTTGTCATTAATGCTAATGTTGCTTTAACCATTCTTCCTCTCTGCCACAGGACCAAGGTAGGAAAGTTGGTTTGTTTTTTTTCCTAAAACCAGGGAAGCTATGGAAGCATAAGGACATTAATTCTATCCCTTGAGTCTATGTAAAAACTTGGGCATGGCACATCTGTCACTCTAGTGATGGATAGGCAGAGCCAAGAGAATTTTCCAGACTTGCTATCAGTCTAGTGTAGGTGATCAGTGAGCTCCAGATTAAGTGCAATCTGTTTCTTTAAGTCTGTTTTCTTTAAACTCTTAAGATTATCTACACAACAGAAGTGTCTTGGTCTAGCCCTAAGCCTAGGCTTCAAATTCTACACACTTCTGTTCTTTCTTGTTAATTTGCATTCATTAGAATAGCAGTTCTCAACCTGTGAGTCTCCACTCCTTTGGGGTCAAACGACCCCTTCACAGGCATCACGTATCAGATAACCTGCCTAATAGATATTCACATTATGAGTCATAACAGTAGCAAAATTACAATTATGAGGTAGCAACAAAACAATTTTATGGTTGGGGGTTACTACAGCATGAGGAACATGGGAAAGGGTTGCAGCACTAGGAAAGTAGAGAACCACTGCTTTAGAAGATGCAGGAGCTCGGCTACTGGAGGGTAAGACAAGAGAGCAGAGTCATTCTTCCCTGCCTAGCTCATCCTAGATCAACCAACAGCCAGCCGGCCAATAGATGAGTCCCACCTGCGACAAGAGTACCACCAGAATCAACAAACCACTCTACTGCTCTCCAAGCTTGAAGTTAATGCTTATGCTGAGTTACTGAACTCGGTAATGGTTTGTTACACAGCATGATTGTAGCAACAAGCAAGTGCTCGGCTATGGTTTGAATGTGTCTCCCAGCATTTGTACTAAGCTTAATCTCCACATTCATATTTAATGGTATTTTGAGGAGGGAGCCTGAGGTGGAGGTTTTTCCCTCTTAAATTGTGCTACGGCTTGGGTCAGAAGTCCCCAGGGGTTCAGTGTAGCTGAAGGCTTGGTCCTTAGGGGATGCTGTTGAGAAGCAGGGCTCAGTGGGAAGTGTTGAAGTCACTAAGAGCATAAGGGCTGTCTTCTGGGAACCTTCTTACAGCTCCCACACGGCCCTTTTGGTAGTTCTTGAGTGTCACTATAGAAGGAGCGAGTCTTTTATAAAAGGAGCAAGCTCTTCTGGGCTCCTGGCCCAAGATGTAGCCACTTTCTTGTCCTCACATCATGGCATCCACCAGCATTTGACACAGCTAAAACTTAAGATGATGTAGTGCCATGACCTTGAATCTCCTAAAGCTCTGAGCTAAATAAACCTTTTATTCATAAGTAGCTGTGTCTGGTATTTTGCTTTAGTAACAAAAAAAGTGATTAATCGTTGAGTTGCTTTCTTCCTGGATGACTGGGTTATGACAGGAACAGCAGGCTTTCTCTGTCTTGAATGTTGTCTCACTAGGCAACAAGAAGGGCCTCAAGAGATGCTGGTTCCAAGAACTTGGACTTCCCCATCTGCAGAACTATGAGATAAGCAAACCTCTATTCCTTATAAATTACCTGGTTGTAAGAGGTGCTTTTTCAAAAATTATATTGGATAAAGTGAAAATCTAACACCATCCAAATTTAGTTTGTTTCGATTTTCATTTTTGGATTTCTTTTTGGTTCCTTTTTTAGAGAGAAAGAAAGAGAGAGAGCACACATGTGCACACTTGAGCATGAAGTTGGGTGGGGAGCAAGGTGAGGAGGAGCTGGGAGAGGGCAAAGAAAATGATCTAAATATATTGTGTGAATAAAATTAATAAAATTTTTAATTCATTAAATTCTTAAAAATCTATTATCTGATCAAATACTCTCTTTTTTTCCTTTTTTTCTTTTGAAACACTCTTAGTATCTTGCAAAGTCCCGTGTGTTTTGCACTTTATCTGTTTAAATTCCATCTACAGTGGTACCCTGGCACACATCCCTGAGGGACTTGATTGAGAGCTAAGGAAGTGTAAGGGCCAGTGCTCTGGGGGCCATTTCTGTGAGAGCAGTGTGGAGCAGAGCCTCAGTGAACTTGTCTGAATGTTATAAAGCACTTCTCGCCTTCCTCTAAAGCCTCCTGACTAATTCACCTCTGCTCTTTTCTCTTTAGTCTGTGACAGAGCAATATTGTTGAGTTTGAGCAGAAACAGCACTATAGATACCAGAAGCATGGACCTTCGCTTACATAATAAGAATGCAGCAATACTAGCGGTTAGTATGTCTACCGTTTTCCTGGCTTTTACCAAGTCAGACATCTTCCAAGAACCAAAACGAGGACCAATGAGATCACTCAGTGGATAAAATCACCTGCTTGGCAAACCTGACATCCTGAGTTTGAACCCCAGATCCCTCCACGGACATGGGGAACTGACTCCTAAATTGTCCTTTGACCTCCGCACGGATGCCATGGCATGTGTGTGCACACACAAATATTTCCTTTGGAAAGAATCCAAACTATTCATCTTTGTCCTCAGAACCCAGGGAAATGTCGGCACAAGGAAGATATTCAGTATATCTTAGACAAATTAGTGAATGAATCTGGAGGGAGTACTGAGGATTATAAATCTGAGAAAAGCGATGTAGGAGGGAGATTCTGGATACCAAAAATGGCAGGGTGTGTGTGGTGGTATTTTACTTGTACTGAAATGTGATTTTAATTGTATGTTAATAAATAAAGTTGTCTGGGGGTCAGAGCTATTAGAGCCATAGCAAGTGCATGGCGGCGGTGGCGCACGCCTTTAAGGACCTGGAGGGCAGTACATTCAGGCAGTGACGAGGCAGTCAGATGTTTGGGTTTACAACCAATGAGAAGGCAGAACAGCTAGACTATATAAAGACATACACACAGGAAGTAGGTCCCTTTAGGAGAGCTCTCTTGGCTGAAGAGGATCCCTGAATCAGGAAGGGTGAGGCTCTTAGCTCTGACCTCTTGGCTTTCTTCTCTGAATCGGCTCTGTGTTTCTTATTTAATAAGACCATTGGTTACATCTACAGGTGTGGAACTGGATCACAGAGAAATCCGAGATGCAGGGGGAAGGAGGAGTAGACCCAGGTAACATTGTCAGATATGGGTGCTATGAAAGACTCAAGATTGTTATTACTTTATCAGGCACTGCTGGACTCTAGGGAACTGGAGTAATAAGGTAGGGGCTGGGCTTCTCTGAAGTCAGAGATGAAAGCTATAAGCTATATATATTTTTCCCCATGAAAAGTTTGCTTTGAAAAGTCCCAGCAATCAACTTCTTTGATATTTTCCCTTTTTACATTGCTTCTAAGATTTGTGTATGGAGGGGCACATATGGAGGTCAGAGGACACCTACTGGGAGTTCGTTCTCTCCTTCCGCCTTGTGGGCCCAGGATGTCCTGAAGACTCATGTCCTCAGCTTTGCTGGCAAATGCGCTACCTGCTAAGAAATCTTCCTTTTATTTAGATAGGGTCTCATGCGTCTCTGGCTGGTCCTGAACTTGCTATGAAACTGAGGATGACCTTGAACTTCTCCTGCTTCCACCAGCTAAATTCTGGGATTACAGGAATTTGCCACTACATCTAATTCATCCAGTGTGGGAGATTGAACCCAGGGCTTTGTATATACTACACAAGTACTCTACCAACTGAGTACATCACCAGACCCTAATTCTCTTCTCTTGACAACTCCATGTAAGCTCAGCATCCTCCTCATCTTTAAGGAATCTTGAGTTCTGAAACAAATGAGGCCACTTGTAGGTACTTTGGGCCATGTTAAAGGAAGAAATCTTCAATTATTTAGGATTCTTTCTGGAGTTTGTAAGGGTTTCTATTGAAATAATAAACACACACTGCTAATGACCTGCTGAGTAATTGAAATAATTGTCTTAGTTCTGAATATCATGTAAATAAAGTTTTATTGTAGTTAAGTTTAGCAGATTGTACATAGGATTGAAAGGACCAGGCAGATGCCATAACAGGCTGCTCAGTCTTCTCTCAGAGATCAGGCCTCAATTTCAGTTTCCTGAGACTTGAGCAAGCAGTTTCTGGAAGGGTTGTGAACAAAAAACACAGTCCTTACAGTAGCTCCCTTTCTGCACATACTCTGACCGCTCAAAGTTCAGCCAATTGTTTACTGTTTACTGTCTGGGACCCCTCAACAACTTAGAGCTATGTACATACATGGGTCAATATGAAAGCCTGACCACTGAGCTAGCTCCCACAGTCAGTACATGCTAGGCCAGCCACCCTCCATGGTAGCTCAAGGACCAAGCCTGGGACATGTCCAGACCTGCCCCAAAATGGATAACTGCAACCCCTAACTAACTAGCCAATTAAAAGTTACTAACATGATGCCACTCACATAAACCAATCCTGAGTCTGTTTTTTTTTTTTTTTTTTTTTGGTTTTTCAAGACAGGGTTTCTCTGTGTAGCTTTGCGCCTTTCCTGGAACTCACTTGGTAGCCCAGGCTGGCCTCGAACTCACAGAGATCCGCCCGCCTCTGCCTCCCGAGTGCTGGGATTAAAGGCGCGCGCCACCAACGCCCGGCCTGAGTCTGTTTTTATGTAGTCTGTAGACCCCAAGACCCCCTTGCTTTAAAAACCCTGCCCCATTGCTACTCAGGGTCTCTCCTGCTCAGCTGCTGCATCAGACGGAGTGTCCCGAGTTAACTCAAAATAAAAAGACTCTTTGTATTTGCATGGGATTTGGTCTCTTGGTGGTCTTTGGGAGACTCTGGGAACAACAGGATCAAAACCCTCTCGTTCACCAATCAAGTAGAAGGAGTACATCATAATAAAGGGTAATACTGTCCCCAAGAGAACTGTCGCCCGTTTCCACTCCTGACATTGTTTTCATTTTTCCCATTTTGTTCTAGGCCAGTGAGAACCTTATCTTTGGTCTGAACCAGTCCAAAAGAAGTAGTTGTTCAGAACAGCTGGTACCGTTCCCGAACCCAAGTCCAGCTGTTCACTGCTGGAAAGCCAATACCCAAGGACTGAGAGTTAGCGAGAAGGAAATCAAGTTTCGAAACTTTTATGTTTCTGTGTCTGTGTGGGGGTATGTGCATGCAGAGTGCAGGTGCCTGTGGAGGCCAGAGGTGTCAGATTCCCTCGGATCTGAAGTTACAGCTGCTGTTGGACCACCTGATGGGGGCGCTGGGAACCGAACTTGGGTTCTCTGGAAGATCAGCACTCCATCTTAACTGCTGAACTATGCAGCTCAGAAATTAAGTTTTATTCCAAGGCTGGCCCTAACAGCAGAAGCTGATCTTTGGGAACCCAAGAATGAATTCAAGAACTTTTATATGGAGAAAAGGAGTCGGGGAGCAACAGGCAGAAGATTGCAAGCTGAGTCACACAAATCCAGGCTCCTAACCATCTGTCACTTGGGACACTTTTATTTACTCTCCTAAAACTTATTTTTATTTACTCTCCTAAATATTTGCTTTTATTTAATTTATGTATATACGGTGTGTGTGTGTGTGTGTGTGTGTGTGTGTGTGTGTGTGTGTGTGTGCGTGCGTGTGTGTGTGTGTGTGTGTGTGTGTGTGTGTGTGTCTGTCTGTCTGTCTGTCTGTCTGTCTGTATGTGGGTATGTGCAAATGAGTGCAGGTGCTGGAAGAGTCCAGAGGACGACCTCAGATCCCTTGGGGCTGGAGTTCAGTCAGTTGTGAGTTGCCCAACGTGGGTCCTGGGATCCAAACTCCCAGACATCTACTAAAGCACCAAGCACTTTTAACTGCTGGCTGTCTATTTCTCTAGTCCTTTCTACAACATCTTTGTATTAATAAATGGTTTTCATCTCCTGGGCTAGTATCTGGAATTTTTTTTTAAAGCAAATACATCATTTCCCTGGAAGTCAAATATCATTGTACTCTTAATTACATAACATGATTAGCAAGTCCTTGGCAACATTTTAATGTTGTCTGAAGATGCTGCATGTGCTGAGATCTAAAAATCTAAAGAGGAGTCACAGATGAGTAAGTTGAATGACTTATGTCTCGTTTGGAAACAAATATCCAACCCTGCCGTTTAAGACACAGATCAGGGTTGGACAGTACGTAATACACCTTTGGCCAGGGAAAAAATTTTGACCCCTTTGGCAGCTTCAGATGGAAATGTCATCCCTAGCGAAACTAGAGGGGGATGAATAATGTATTGCTCAGCTCTGTTCATCTCAAAGAGTAATATTTAAAAGCCACTAAAGCAAATGAAGCTAGAGGGTTCCCCCAGTTTCAGTATAAACAATGGTCAACAATGAGCAATTGTAGGTAGTCAGCAACAATAAACTACAGAAGTAACCACCACCAAAACAACTGTTTCATCTGGAATTGTTCCTTCCATCTCTGGCCAAAACTATGACACTCACCCCATAGAGGATAGAGAGTACAGTGACTTTTCTGTTGGGCTGCAGCCTTTATCTATCTATCTATCTATCTATCTATCTATCTATCTATCTATCTATCTATCTATCTATCACAGAGGTACCCCATCTTCTGCCTCCTGAGTGCTAGGGTTAAAGTCATGTGCTACCACACCTAGACAATCTGAAGCTATCACACAACATCTTAACTACTTTAATGAGTGTGCCTCCAAATTAACCCTCAGAGTGATGAAGAGGAGTTGAAACCATATTATATGATAAAGTTGGACCTTGAAGCTGGGGAGAGACCTGAGCGTCTATCTCTGAACAAGCAGAGGAAATAGCTGTTAAAAGACCCAGCTTTGAAATTGTCTTCACAGTTGGCAAGCCAATGACTTGCCCAGGGATTTTCCTCAGAGAGCTTCTTACATTCCCGTGGCAAGCAATTTATAACACGATTCCCATAACTATATTTGACCAAACAGGTCGACCAAAATTCTCCAATGTAACAGGCCCCAGACCTTAGCACAACTGACTCCATGATGGAAGTGCCATTCAGGCTGTAAAACTCAGCACATAGACAGCACCATCTGCCAAAAGTGAAAAGAAAGACCTAATCCATCAAAGTCCATAGTTCTGGGAAAGTCTCTAAATGTACTAACCTTGCTTTTTGGCTTCTGGAGCTCTGCTTCTGGCTAACTGTTCTTGTTAACTGAAATATGTCAACCTAAAATGAGGTTTTTATGCTTAAAAGCTCATCCTGAGAAAGACTCAGGGCTACACTGGGATCCCAAACACCAGTGTAGTTGTCAGCTGGCTAATAAAGACTTTCTATTGGCTTAAACCCAGGTCTAAGCAGTCTTCTCTGGTGGATACCCCCCAACACCTAGAGTTTGGCATTGAGAGATACTTTAAGAAGTTTTTTGTTTGTTTTGTTTTGTTTGGGGCTGAGAAATTATTAGGAAGAGTTGCTAAGAGGAAGTGCTCTTCTAAACAAAAGGGCTCTGGAGACAGCATCTCACCTCACCCTAACCAGAAAAACTCAGTAGCTATTTGCAAGGGATCTCAGTCAAAGGACTTAACACTTCAGCAAAGAACTTAGACGGTGTCAGACAATGTACGCATTCTGGGTGACTGTGATGTGAAATACACTCAGGTGCTTCCACCGCTGAATTTTTAATGCTTATTCTGATGAACTTGTTACGAATTTCAGGACATCAAACTCACACTATCGTGAGCAGTGGTTTTTTGTTGTTTTTTTCTTTTAAAGGCATAATTGGGGCTGGTGAGATGGCTCAGCAAGTGAAGGAAGGGTCTTGGTGCCAAGTCTGACACCTGAGGTCAATCACTGGGCCCTTCCTGGTGGAAGGAGAGATGGCTCAGTGGCTGTGAGTACGTACTGCTCTTGCAGAGGACCCACATTTGGTTCCTAGCACCCACATCTGGCAGTTCATAACCGCATGTAATTCTAGCTGGTGGAGCGGGGAGATCAGCTGCCTTGCCTTAGGTGCTACACTTCCATGCACATAATCACACTCATACATGTAATTAGAAACAATAAAAACTAAAAATTAAAAAAGATTTCTACAAAGTCAGCTGAGGTGTTAATGTTCTTTGATCATATCAGTGGTGTGAATTTGAGATACCATGACTCATGACTCACAAACTAAGCCAAGAGCGAAGCCTACAAGGCGTTGGGCTTTAAGAAACTGGCTTGAATGATTCAGAACAAGTAGTAAGACTAAGTGAGTAGTTGCCAGGCATCACTGAAACAATTATAAATATCAATTCATACGTGGTTACTATCAAACACAGATGGTTCAACCAAGGCATAGTAATTCACTTGATTATCTACCACCAAGTCACAAAGAACTTCATTTTTCTT